TGCTGGAGCACTAAATAATCTAATATGCCAAATCTCAAGGATGGTTTGATTGCTAACTAATTTTAGCATTGATGAAAGTAAAACGCGACTCTCTTGATAATCATCTTCGATAAATCCAGATGTATATTTTGAATAATCATTCTATGTATAAAAAAAAAATTAGCAAGTTTAAGTAGAATACAAATATAAACCCAGTTTCGAACTCTAATACTTACTTGGCTAAGAGTTAAAGGATTAATTTAATACGGACAGTAAAGACAAGATTGACTTATTTGAAGTCTTTGACAGGCGAGTGCTTCAAGGGTTAGATACTTCTTCAAAGCTTCATTAATTTTTAAAAAAAATATACTGTGAATTGTGGGTAAACCAACAGATAGGAGCTGATTTCGATATTCAGATTCACGTTGGCATTTTGCTTCATTTTCAATCTGCTTTTCGATGCTTTCTACTAATTTTATAAGCGTTGTTCGTGCACCAATTTCAGCTTTTAATACACCATTAATGCTCTTAACACGTTGTGTACTGTTCATACCCGCACAAAAGGTTGAATATATATAAACTAAAGCCCATACATGTCGTGATCTGTATAAACGGCGCAAGTACTTTTCATATTCAAAAAAATCATGTACTAACTGTTGCCATCTACTTTTGAAGAGTTCTTCACATTTACTATTATGTGTCTAATAAAATTGATTAAGAAATATTTTGTATCGATCTTGGCCAAGTTTTCGTGCAAGATGTTTGGCAAGATTCTGACTTATATGGAATAAACAATACTGATATTTGGTACAAGGAAATATATTATGAATAGCAGCTACCATTCCGGGATCACTATCAGTAAAAATAGTTTGTGGGACAATGTTATTGTTCAAATGTTTCAATAATTGTAAAATCTATTCAAAGGTTATTTGCGTTTCATCTTGAACAAGCGCTTGTGCAAGCATCCTTGTTCTGTTATGCGAATCTACTTCCACAAAAATGTTTAGTAACATTCGATAAATATTGGTTTTACAAGTATTATTATTTACAATTACATCATGAAACTGCTTATAAAGTCTAGACTGACTTGGAGTTTGCCAAAAGAGGCGAGCCAAAGAAGTATCAACACCTTCAAAATATATATTAA